CCTCTCTATCAAGAATGAGAACATCCTCATCTCTGAAAGAGTGACCGCTGGCCTGTAAATGAGTGAAAACTGCAGAGTTCTGGCCATTAGATGTGTCTAATTTAACTACAGTGCTTAAAAGTCTGACTTTTGCCTGAAACTCTCAGACTGAAGAAGACTCTTGGAGAAGAGACGAAACGTTTCATTAGAGAAGAACCCGTCCAGAAGACCTATACAATTTTTTTCTTTTTGATGTTTTTACCTGGATTACTGAGATGCATCAGGACACTCGAGGTTAGATTTATTTTTCCATTGTTTTTATACATTTTTGTTTCTACAGGTTGTTACTGGAAAGGAAAACAAAAGCTCAGCCGACAAATTTAAAGACTCAAAAGGTCCAACTTTGATCGCTCAGTCCAGTCAAAACCCTGTCAGAAGTGCGTTTGGTGTCTCTAACACAGTAAACGTTAGAGGCGGTACACAAAAAGGAAAAGAGAACACTGTTCGTTCATCATCGAGCATCGCCCCACCACAGCCGAAACCTTATCAAAACCCACTTCTTAGGAAAACGTACACTGTGGTTGTTTCCAAACCCAACGCGACTGCAGCCGGCACCCTGAAGAAGCCGACGATCGTAAGAGGTCACGCTTCAGGCCAAGCATCTTCAGCCGCAGCGTCTACAGCCGGAGCAAAGTCAAGTTTCCAATGTAACCTTAACTCAAACTGCACCACGGCTCAAACAGCCGGCAGTCGGATCAGCATGGGCCCGCTTGTCAAAACAAAAACAGGACTCACCCCTGCCGTCATCCAGCCCAGGAATACAAAATCAGATCTGCCACGACCCAGTGCCGCGTCACGTAAAACTATCAGCACTGCTTCTGTTGTTAGGAAGGTGCAGGCCTGCAGCACAGCTTCAGCCTCCCTCCGCCAGAAACCTGCTTTAAATTCAACGGCTGGAGCTAAAGTTCAACCTCAGAACAAGTCCAACCCCAAACCGACTCTAGATAAACAGACTCTGCCAGCTTGTAAGAGTCAGCATTCAGGTGGGCTGAGGGTCACCTCTGCCTCCTTTAAGGCCAAAGCACCACCAGCGAGGCCAGAAGGGAGGGCTTTAACCAGTATGTCCATAAAGGTAACATCTGGTGCCGCTCCACAAGCTGCCTCAAGGACAAACACATCCAGTTCCACAACTGGCAGCAGGCTGAAGCCGACGGTTGTGACCCAGCCAGCAGGGAAAACCAAAACAAATAAAGAGACAAGTTCTGCAAACGTCCTTCCACCACGAGCACCTCCAAAATGTGCGGTTGCACCGATACTGTCCCAGACCGAACCGCAGCCTTCCAGGTCCGTCAGCATCACAGGCCGGGCCGCGGTCACAAAGACACCGAAGGTCACAGCCAAGGTTCCTCAGACCGAAGGAAAGAAGACGACTGCCCAGGAGGAAAGACTGTAAGTAGAACTGAACATTGATTAGCTGCCTGCCTGTTGGGAGGGAAAAATAAAAACCTAACCTGCATTCGGGTGTCTAATCCAGGAAAAAACTCAAGGAGTGGCGAGAGGCTAAAGGAATTTCTTACAAACGACCTCCAATGCCGGTGAAAACTCCGGTCAGGCGTGCCGTGTCTGTAGCTCAACCGTTCTGGGTTTCCATGAAGGCCGAGGAGGACGCCCGTTCCCTCATCCAGGCTGTGGACAGAACCCTCGCTGACTGCATCAAACTGTTGGCCGAGGTACGTCTGAGATGCAGCCCGACCCGTATGTTGAACATTAAGTAAATAGATTGTAGCAAAGCCCTCCATGAAGCTCACTGCAGTTTTTGATGGATTGATTGAGACTTCATAATTTAAAAACAAAATAAATTCTGTATACAATAAAATATACAAATCACAAAATAAAAGGCAGAAGAAATAAATCTTATACAGTGGTTTGCAAAAGTATTCATACCCCTTGAACTTTTCCATATTTTGTCACATTACAACCACAAACATAAATATATTTCACTGGAA